TAACAAATGATCACATGTGAACAAACACAATGTTGTAAAGCCTCTTACGCACACGTGCAAGTCAATCACATCTGGATTTAAAAGGTGTTGATATGTGTTCATGGACTAAATCATTAACTCATTTGTTATCAAGCAAACATGATTAATTCACACACACACACACACACACACACACGTGTTACTGTGTTATTATTAGATAAATAAGCGGTTACCTATAAAAGAAAGTAATTCTTTGTAAAATCTTGGCTGCGACTTTTACACACAAATTACGTGATCGGTCACTCGTGTAATTTTTTCACCGGGGGGATTTACTTTTAAACGTTTGATAATTTACAACAGCTTTCATTTTCCTCCTGATTCAGACAAACGACTTTTTGCACCATCTGCCCGAACAGGCACCAAATGCTGTTTGTCTCTGGGACCCTGCTGGGTGCAGAAGCCTCCTCGCTGAGAGTTTACGGCCTCTGGCTGTGCAGGATATTTATTGGGGGCCTGTTCAGTGAGAGCCAGTTTGTGCCCTGCCAGGTGTTCGGTCTGACTAAAGCTGCCTGGCACGGCTCCCGACCAGACCTGACGAGGCCAGGCAGCGCCGGCACACTCAGAGCGGCGTGCCATTAATGATGTTTGAACCGCAGTAAGACGGTTTTCCGACATGACACATGCACACACATCAGGTTTGCTCACGTTTAGCAGATATGCACACACGTCCTGGTCTGCCCAGTCACATCTGGACCAGTCCATTTCACGTCCTGGCCCGGTGCTCTGGCAAGAACCAAGCAAAACTTTTCTGCTCTGACAAATTAGAACCATTTTCTATAGAGATTACATCAGCTGCTAGTGTCGCTACTAATGCACAGTTATTACAGAGAGCTAATTCCCTTTTAATGCAGCTGAGAGGTTTTCACTGAACGTTAAATCTTCCAGCTCTCGTTTGTGTTTGTCCTGGTAAGCTCACCAGAATTCTGCCATTTCTTCAGAAATATGGCGACAGAGAGATCCATAAATCTGAGCAATAAACGAGACATGACTCGTTGTTTCAAAGCTTTTATAATATCGACCCCGGCTGCACGTTCATAGAGAGATCTCAAGACGTTTTCTGATGCATTTGCTGTCATGTAGAGATGAGTTAATGTGAATTTCCCCTGAGTGCTCCAGTAGGAAATATCTCCCACACACACACACACTGAGACCTGGACACATCCGCACCTTTGTTCTTTTGTTAGAGGCTTTAACGATGTTCCGCTGCATTCCTCTCCTAACTCAGTCCCTCTGTGGCCGGTTTGGTGGCCCCTGCCCCTGCGCCGACACATTCTCACACGCACCACGAGTGAATGCAAAAAATGCACACATGTCGAGTTGCACATTCATGCACGTAAACATACAAATAAAGGCAGAATATACCTGCTTTTACATGTACACGCGTGCTCACTGTGCACATACAGGTGAACGTGGCTCCTGGGCTCAGGTCAGGGTGGTCTCTTTTAAAAGTGATGGTTTTGGTGTTTACTATACGAGGGGCCTCCCACTGAAGAGTCTTTGAGGTTGTGGTTTGCTGGTTGGAAAAGTCTTTAAGTTCCCTTTTTAATAGTCGACTGGAGGCTGGTCAACGAATTAGTCAGACAGCTCATCCAAATCAAATTAGCCATGAATAAAATTTAAATAGAGGCGTTCACGGGTCAAGTGGAGAAAGAGAAGAGCCGTGATGTTGATTTTTTCTTATTTCAAACAAATGTGATGCAAAAGGTTCAAGGAATAAATCCATGAAACCGTCTGATGAAATATCGTGAAGCGGATTTGACGGAAGTAGAAAAACAGGCGTCCGACTCACGAAACGCCTCTCTCTCTCTCTCTCTCTCTCTCTCTCCAGATATCCAGGAGTCCGGTTTTAAGGTGGATTCCAGCTGCAAGGCCCGGAAAGAGCGCACGGCGTTCACCAAGGAGCAGCTGAGGGAGCTGGAGGCCGAGTTCACCCACCACAACTACCTGACCAGGCTGCGCCGCTACGAGATCGCCGTCAACCTGGACCTCACAGAGAGACAGGTACCCGGCCTTTGATGAGGGATAATTAATTAGCGTTCCACAGTGACTGCACATCTGTATTCAAACATCTGCACTTCAGACGAAGTGGTGAAAACAAATGGTGAGAAATCCACCTAAAATACAAAAATCTAGTACGAAAATTAAAAAAAACACGCAAAAGAATTAGGGAACATTTGATTTATAAAGATAAATGATATATTTTCTTTTTCCTCTTCCTTTTGAAGAGTTTAGAAAAACAACAGAAAAATGAACCATAAAACATTTTCACCGCGCTGAAAAAATAAAACCAAACAAATAGGTGATCACTCATTTTCTTAAGGCGGTGAGTCTTTAGAAATGACTCCGTCCACTGCAGTGTAATAAAAAAAAGCATAAACACAACTGCATCTGAATTACAATGAGCCGTTTTTTCCAGAATTCTTTTCGTCCTGTGGTCGCAGCAGAATGACATGCAGCTTTAATGAGGGGGCGGCAGCTCCAGACCTGATGAAATCGGGCGAACATGTGTCGATGCTGCCGGATAAAAAAACCCCAGTCTGTCTGTGTGTCTGTCAGGCCCAGTGTCCCAGCTCCTCCTAATGAGGCCGCGGTGCCACAGTGACCACACATACTGCCGTCTGCTGCTAAATCTATTTCCCAGACCCTCTGAAAAACACACACACACATTTGTACAGAGAGGCCGACACACACACACACACACACAGAGCGTGGTTCCATCCTCGCTCAGAGCTCCCACTGCTCCCACTCATCCTACATGCTTTGCTTTGGCCATGTGCCGTCCTTTCAATCAGTCACGATGAGCAGGAGACGAGGAGGCTTCAGTGTGCGGGAACAGATTGGTCCAGAGTTGCAGGGTGTGTGTGTGTGTGTGTGTGTGTGGGGGGGGGAGCGGCTCAGTGGGATGTACAGAGGTCGCTGCTCACAGGTTGGATGGACGGAGCTGTGAGCTGCTCTGCTCGTCTTACAGAATGTTTTCTAACTTACTGTGTAAAAACCGTGAAGCTTGAGCTTCGTCTCACTGGTTCCTGATGTAATCCAACAGGTTTTAAAAGGTTGCTGGTTTTAAACAGTACAAAACTCCAGCATTAAAATGAATCCCGTTAACAATCTTGGGTCTGATGCTGGTCAGTCAGCTGCAGGAAACAGTTCCGACGCAACAAATGCAATATTTCCAACAGTTTGAGAGATGTTTATTAAAAACCACAGAACCCAGCTGCGTGAGGAAATGATTGAACCTTTTCAAAAAAAAAAAAAACCAGAACAGCACTCAGAAGTGCACATTCCTCCGCCAAGGTCCAGACTCAGAGATGTCAGTTCTCTTAATGTGCCCGACTATCTGCACCAAAGTCCAGTGTTTTATCCTTCCACCGGGTTTCATGGTGATCCGTCCAGTGGTGTTTGTGTAATGTAGCTGAAGAACAAACTAAATCCTTGGTGGAAGTCAAATTTAAATCATAACACATTACTGCTTCTCTGAATTTTGTTGACCCATAAATAAACAAATATTCAAATCACTTTGTTTGCTACGAAAGACTAAAGGAAACAAGCACAACTCTGAATCTGACGCTGAGCCTCGTGCACTGAGAGTCTGCTCTCCTGCAGCCTGTCACCGTATTTCATCGGTGTGTGACCATCGTCCATCACAGATTTACGTGCAGTTGTTTTTCGCTGCTGCCGTTTCCCTGGAATTTTTCTCCACCCTCAGGAAGTCCATGTTTCTGCTGCTTTTCTTGGCCGCACAGTCAAAGCATGATATTCTCATTTCAGAGCAGTGAATCCACGTTGTGAGTAAACTCACATCCTGTGTACGCTGACATCCTGACAGACCACTCTTTTGACTTACTGTCCATACGATACTCTCCGCCAGCACGAGGCAGACGTCTCGAGCCAGAGTCGAAAGCTTTGCGCCGACAACTCGCGCAACTTGCAAGGCCAACGTGAACCATGAGCCAACTCCTATAGAGCTCCGGGAGAGTTGAGGGGGATTATTTTGTCTATTTTTCTGCGGACTCTGTTGTAACTTGTGATCAAAAAATTGCAAAACACAGAGAAAAACCACGGCGATCCTGTTACAGGTTCAAATATGGTAAAACACGCCACGCACAGTGTGTGTACAGTGCAATACTTATTGTTTAAAAGTCTTATGCAGAGTATTTATTTGTAGTTTGAACAGATTCATGAAGCTAATGAGTATCTGAAGTTATTTCTAAAACCGATGATTATTCCTCTTTATCAGTCGGTCGATCAAATAAACTTGTGAGAAGAAAGATTCAGTTTTAGAATCAAATTTAATCTTTTTCCTCACATGTTTATTTTCTCAGACCAACAGTGAAAAACTTAAATAAATTAAGTTTAAAATCAGCAGTCGTTCGTATCTGAGAGGCCTCAACGTGTGTTTTTCTTTGCATAGATTATTTAAATGGTTGCAGACGAATGTTCGGCCGCATTAATATTAAATTACTGCAAAGGGGGAAACACCAGGGAGTCGTTTGCCTGAGGCAGATTTAGCTCAAATTAATCACAACAGTGTCCTCCATGTATACTGATTATAGCTGCATAATAAAACAGTCAGAACATGGTTTTAATTTTCCCTCTGTCAGCGCTAATACCGTGTGTTTCTCCTCCGCTGCAGGTGAAAGTGTGGTTCCAGAACAGGAGGATGAAGTGGAAGAGAGTGAAGGGAGGACAGTCGGCTTCTCCCAACGACCCGGAGAACGACGACATAGACTCGGCCGCCTCGCCCAGCTCTGAATGAACGAGGGGGGGGGGGGACGCTAAGAGAGAGAGAGAGAGAGCGACCGGGCATCGAAGGGACACTCGTGCAGCACAATGCAACGTTTTCTGTGGAAAGAATCAAACAATTCCAGAGACTTTTTATATTGTTATTAATCCCAGGAAGAAATCACTGAGTATCTCCTTCGCTGTCATCTTGTTGTAAATAGTCGATCTTTGTGCATAAGGAAGTGACTCCTGGCGAACAGAGGCCACGTCTTGTTGCAGAGATGATACTTGGTCATTGTAGATCAGTGACAGAGTCCTGCAGTCTGATAACTCACAGCATCAGACGGTGATGTGATTGTGTTTGAGGGCATCCCCTTTGGTTCCAGTTTTGTAATCATGGCCTTTGACGCTTGACTACAACCACCTGGGAAAACTCAGACTGCACACGTGTTGCCAAGCCATAAGTGCCTCCCAATCTGGTTTTTTTGTTGGTTTTTTTTTTTTGTATTTTGTTAGTTTCTTTTCCTAGAATATAGTTTTTCCTGTCAAGCATTTTTTACTCTTCCTTTTTTATACATTTTGAATGTTATTGATAAAACACAGATGTTGCCTGTTTCTGCAAATAGAATAAATCATCTGCTGCAAAACGGGGAAAATATCTTGATAATTTCTTCCACACGCAACGACGGCGTTACCATTGGAAAGTCGGTCGATGTGTTTCCTTGGCTGAAGGCTTCATCACGTGTCGACTGTTTGGTCCGATATTTATCTGACCGCACTTCCCGAGACTTGAGAGCAAAATAACCGAGGAGCAGTTTGCTTCCATTTGCTTTTGAAGTCGACGTTAAAGGTAATCAATCATGAGAGCGTGTTACGTGCGTGTCCCTTTACGCATGCAAAAGCGTTTTAGCCGAGTTCCACAGAGATGTGTGGTGATGAAACCGCTCCAGAGTTCTGCTCATTGAGATTTCTCAGACCTTCGTAGTCGGGATTAATAACGAACTTCCTGTGGCAGAGGCAGAAAAGTGACCATGAGAACACGCGTCGCTGCAGATGACTTAAAGTGAATTCCACGTCCATCAGTCTGCTGGGGTCTTCGTGGCGTAACTGCCGTCATCCACCTGCACAGACCCATATACATACGACAGCGTTTAAACCCTCTAACCCCGAATGAACGCTAATATTTAGCTGTGCAAGCAGAAGACGGTTTGCTAGCACATTAACAATGTTGACGATGTGTTTCTGGCTTGTTTCTCTATAACCAAGTGGTAAATAAATAATGAACACTGCTTAAATAACTGCTGAGAATTATTATTATTATGGCCCTGGACACAATCTCACCACAGACGCATGTGCTGAAGGGTAAACTACACAGCAGGTATCAATTTGAAATCATATTTTCTTATATGTACAGCAAAGTCTTTAGTTTACTTAGATGATGTAGCACGGAGCCACATACGACCAAACAAACCTCCAACTCCCGGACGAGTTCTGATTCTGGACGGCCGAGCGTCAGATACAGTCGTGTGATTGAATCTGCTACTTTACAAAACATTCAGTGAATCTCATGATCACACTGACTCCAGTATTTTAAAACTAAAAATACATGTTTAAAAAAGGCCTAAGAGTTAAACTGGCTGACAGCAGGACCGATGAGCCACTTGCCTCTGATTGGTCAAAGAAACGATGACGTCCTTCGTGCAAAAATCAGCAAACGTCAGACTGAATTAGACTCAAATCACTTCAGTGCATCTCTGCATGTCATCGTCTCATCAGTGAAATCCTCCTGCATGTGTTTCTGGAGGAATCATGACGCCCTAACGTGTAACATGGGTGTTCTCTGAGCGCTCCTGTGACAGAGCGAGCTTTGCACATAATCCCTGTAGATTACACCATAATTATCTGCATTAATATCTCATGCGGGGGTCGGATATCCCTGAGGTCAGATCGGAATCAGCTCCCATCAACGCCCACAGAGATCCTGGCTGTAATCCTGGAGAATGTTTTCACAGAGGCAAGTGGTCTCCTGTAGACCCAACATCATCTGATGGCTGCACACGTCTGGTCTGAAGTGACCTGACGAGCAGAGGTAGACGTGTGTGTGTGTGTGTGTGTGTGTGTGTGTGGGTTTGAATAGGAAACACTGGTTTTTGCACACCATCACTGTCATTGCACTCAGTTCACAAAGAGCCATTAACTTGACGAGGTGGAGTCAGGCTCCAAAAGCTAAAAGTATTTGGCCCCAGCACACTATTTTTAACGGAAGCATCTGGATGGGGCCAATTTGATCTCAACCTGAGTGGAACGTGGACAAACCCACGCACGGGGGCCCCCAGGAGCAGAGGAGAAGAAAAAAAAGAAAAAAGTTTGCTGGCTGACCACTTGCGTATGATGGAAAAGGGAAATAATAGGTGGGTATGGGTGAAAAGACGGCTTCTCAAGTACAGGATGTTGTTGTAGCAGGTAGCCAGTCATCCAATTTCCTGCTTCCCAAAGAAAACAAGAGCTTGAGCATAGGAGTCCCCAAACTTACAATAGTGGGCCTATGCTCAGACTCCGGCCAACCAAACAAAGCCTTCAGAGGTTACTGCCCTTTCTGCTGGTCTGCAGGGACCGGAGCAGGCGGGAGGGTGGTATGCACACACACACACACACACAGGGATTGGGGTCAAGTGTTACTGTACGTCTGACCCCTCTGGGCCCCCGCTGCAGCTGCTGGGGGTGGAACAACTCTGAGTCGATCCTGTGCCCGTTTTCCCCTCGTTCAGCCTCTATTAGGGTCTATTATTGTATTAGTGGTAATAGTAGTCAAAATAAACCATGTCCAATTGTAATGATAGTATTAATATCAGCAGTGTAAACTAATGAAACTGGAATGTTGTTCTTTCACCATAGAGGTTCCTTTTAAAGGCACAGGGGTGGCCAAATTTATGGATTAGATTTAATTGGGTGGTATTGTGAGTGCGGGATGTAAACGCTTGCCAAAACACCCAAGACGGCAGATTGTGTTTTCACTGATGTGTAGAAAAGTTCAACATATTTTCTTTCATCGCCTCAACAGTCGTGTACACCTTTTTCTGTTTTTTATCGATTTATCGTAAATGGGTTCGGCAAAGTCTCGGTAAAGTCTCCTCCGCTGTGATTATAAAAGCAGATTCAGCTGCAGAGAACATTCTTGAAATATCTCCTCTTCTTTGACTTACAATCTTCTCTGTGGGCGAAGAGCAATAAGAAAAACATTCGTCAGAGTTTCAAAGCGCTCGCTGACTTCATACCCTCAACAGGAATATTCTTAAAACTTCAGCACACGAGAGGTTCTGCCACTAAAAGCACAGATTACTGTACCGACTGGATTCAGCCAGATGCTCTCAAGTGGACCACGTCACCGGCACGGAGCCGAAGCAGAAATCCAAGTTGTGGTCACACGAGCAGCTGCTCTTCACTGTTTCCATTTTTAAACATTTCCAGTTATGAATCATCCTGTTGGATTAAATTGTATTATTGAAAAATGTGGCAACACATTTAAAAAATACAGTTGTCACCCTGCTCTGTATACAGGTTCTGTAAATACTCCATAGAATATTCAGAATCCTACATCAACTTAATATAAAGGGTTGCATGAGGTTTCAAACACAGTATTATAGGTTTAGATGTTAGAAGTTGAGAAGTAAGTTTTCTTCCATTCTTGAAACAGCATGGCTGACATGCAGCTCCACTCGATCCTTCACAGTCTGAGTTTGAGCGGCTCCACCAGGAAGAGGTTTATTTTGAAAACCCAGCGCTCGCTCCTCAGCTCCAGCAGCTCTTGGCGGGAAAGATCTTGATGGATCGCCGGAGGTGTGAAGGTCATCTCTACAAGAGGCGACCATGGCAATTAAAGCATGTCCTCCTCCTACTGGGCCCGTTCACGCTCTCCGCTCCACGAGCTCCATCTGCACGCTGTTATTGTGCAACTGGGAAGGCGGCTGGCGGGGTAACATCAAAGACTCGTTCCACAAAATCTGACAGGCTGACGGGGGAAGGACACCGCTGTGTGAGAGTTAACGTAACATCATAATGAGATAATATTGTAGAGGGAGGAGGAAGAGGAGGGTTCAGTGTGTTTGTTCATAAAATATCTGGACATCTTCGTTAGACTCTTGCAACATGACCATGGGAATGTTTTCGACTCTGCCTCTTGTGGATTCTCATCTTTTTAAATCTGACATGTCTGACTCACCTGGCTCGGGGCTGCAGAAAAGACTAAAGCGCGCTGGGCTTTGTCAAATGAAATGGACCCAGGAGAAACTTAATGTTACAAGACTGTTCTTCTTTCTTCCTGCCCTGCCCTCCTCTCTGTGATCCTTCATCCAGTGACTTGCAAAGAAGCTGGGAACACTAATCCTCTTTCTTTTCATCCTCATTGTTATTTTAGGCCACCTGCAAATCTATTCCTCCGTTTCAGCTCCTCTGTACGTCTGTTTCCAGCCTCTCGCACATGTGAGACAGAAACCGACAAAGAGCAAGCAGAGGGAGGAGAACATATGTGATGTCTTCCGCACATCCTCCCAAGACAGCCGTTGTGTTGAAGGAGGCATATAAGGAACGTGTGTTTGCATGTGTGTCATGTCAAGATGAGCATGTTTGCATGTGTGTGAGCTTGCGTGTCAGTCCGAGTACCTGAAAGTAAGTGAACAAGCCTGGCGAGCAGACCCGTGTGTGCTCGGTCCGACTCAGTCAGCGACAGACCGCCTCTGCTCATCCTTCCACCCCCTCAAGCCCTCTCTCGTCTCCGGTGATTAGCGGCTCCTGCAGGAGTTATAAATCTTCAATTTCCATTGCACAATCAGTCAGGACGGGCCAACGTCGAAGAGCTGCACAACATTAAATTATCTGAGACTTCCTGCAAAGGCTCTTTTGGATGTTGGGAAGGATACTGCAGCCTCAGGCCCTGGGACTCTGGTCTATGGCTCCCTCTGGTTGGTACTTCTGACCTGCTGTGTCCTGCCTGTGTGGAGCCAGGAAACATGGCAGCACTTTGACTCTGCAAATCATCACACAGAGGACCACTCAATCACACTGTTTGCAGAGCAGAGTGACCATAGAAGGCCTTGTTCAGCAGAAAGCACACGGTGAGCAGCACACAGCGCGAGAGTTGGAGAGTGATGCTTCAACAAAACCCACGGAAAACAATCACACGCCTCGAACTCCAGATCTGTGTTTGTGAGAGTGCAGGACACAGCGACGCAGCTTTAAGTAACAAGTCACAAACACTGGAACCAAAAAAAATCGGCCTGAAGTTAGTCGGTTCCAAATAGACCCTCAAAGTTTCATTCAATCTTCATATGAGCGTTTTCCAAATATGGAAAGTTCACCTTATTTCAGAGAAAACACATCGACACCGAGGTGTCCAGTGTTGGAATGACCAACCTTTGACGTGTGTTTTAAATAAAGATGGACCACGTGTCTCCACTCTCTCCCGCTCCCCTGGAGATGAAGTCAAAATAGCCCAGATACGAGGGTAGCGATGACAAAAAAACATCAGTGTGATAAAAACTACTTGCAAAAACAGCTTCTAGCTGTTCTCAGACGGTGCACGTTCATGTGTTTTGGGGGCATGGCTTTGACATGAGGGCTGATGGGAGGGGGTGGGACGTATCGGTTGCATATTAAAATGTATTTAACATGTACTTTTACTTTTTAGTTTGGCTCATATCCCATCCACTAACATGGGGGAGGCAGCCAGCCACCAGGGAGCAATTAAGACGAATGAATGAATGACCGAATTCGCTTTACGATATCATATAAAAACCCATTTAGTGCAATGGTTTAAAATCTGAATTGTTTCCTGCTGGTCATCTTCATTATTGAACAGCTTTTGCATCAACCTGACGAGAGAAGGCCCATAAACGTGATCTACAATTGAGTTATATTCGTGTCACGTCATCGCAACAAAGTCCGCACCTGAGCCCACATGCCAGGAAAACTCACAGAATAACGGTGAAACATCATAAAATGCAGACCAGCTCATAAAGAATACAGGCAACATAGAAAAACATATCAATCAAATACATCAACAGCTTCTGGTTCGCTCTGTAAAACAGTAGACTTTGTCTTGGGGGAAAGCCTAGAACCTCCAACCCTCTCTGCTGCAACCAGCAAGACGCTCCATCACACACTGAGGCTCATTCAGGGATTCTGACCGGGTCTCCATTCATGCTGCTACCTCGCAGGTCCCCTGTCCAAACAGCCGCAGCCTGAGGAGCACGGGGGAAATGGTCCTGGAGGCAATGG